GCTGGATGCTGGAAGGTACGTCTGGGTTTGGGGACCGGGTTGATGGGGAGCGCTCCCGGCTCTGTGTACACATGCTCCTGGTGCTGCTTCCCTTCTCCGGCCCCGGAGGCTTTCACTGCACCACTCTGACTGATAGCTTCAGATTCTTTGTTCTTCACCTCTACCTGTTTGTCCTTACTCGGAGGGCTGAAGTAATTTCCGAGCTCTGGAGGTGTTTTCCCATGGTTCTCCCCCATAGCCTCCAGCTTTTTAAAGAGAGAGAACACAGCTCTCTTCTCCTGGCTGGTTTGCTCTGTTGCTCTCTTGTCATTGCTTTTCCTCAACGTGCCTACCTGCTGCTGCGCCACCAACGTAGGTGAACATGGCCTTGAATCACCAAGCTTTTCCACATTCTCTTTCTCATGATCTTGCTTGTCTTTGTGAACCACTCTTTTGCAATCCTCCTCTCTTTGGTTTTCATAGGGCTTACTGCTCTTGAGCGTCCCTCTTAGCTGTTTTCCAGGTTCAACAGGTGAACAAGGCCTTGAATCCCCAAGCTTTCCTACAGTCTCTTTCCCAAGATTTTCCTTTTCCTTCTGGGCTACTCTCCTGAAACTCTCTGCACTCAGCTCATCAGTAGTTTTATTGTTGCTTTTTGTCAGGGATTCTGTCCTTTTTACAGTAGTGCACTGTACTGAAGAACCTGAGGTAATGGGTGAATGAGTGGGTTCCTTTCCCTCCCAAAGAGAAATTTTGTCCTTAATTTTTCCAGCATTGGATCTGGGGACCTTGTTGCCAGCCAAGAGAGTGTTCTCATTGCTGTGAGGGTCAAAATTTGACCTCCTGTGAGCCATCATGTGTGATTCTTCCCTCTGGTTGCTCAGGTTGTCTAATGGGGCGAAGGGAAGTTTTGGCACAACTTCTCTTCTTTGCTCAGCTCCCTTGTTTTCCACTGAAGCAATATGGAAACTACTACTCCCACCAAGATCGCCCTTCTTTAGCCTAAACACACAAAGAAAAAACACAAAGTTACAAATTAACATGAAATGATTGACGTCAAAGTATTCATTAAGATTAAATGTTAAAATGCAGAGTGGTGACCAGGTTTCACAGCAGTGACTTCCTGCCAGGGGTAGGCTACTTAGTTGCCAGGGAGCACATGGAAAGAATTTGGAGTAACTCAGCTAATATAAAAAATATAACTATACTATACTACTAATATAATATAAATAAAACATAAACCACCAAACAAGTAAGATTACAAATTGGTGTTATACTGATATTTAGTACATTTATTGCTACAACAACTAGAGTAGTTGAAACAGTTAGCTAAAAGTAGGCTAATGGAAATAGTTAGCTAAAATAGTCATCTAAGAGCCATGGATTAGCAGTTGAAATCATCAGCTAAAAGTAATGAGTAAACAGTTGCCTGTAAATACAGGATGAACAGTTGAAATAGATAAAAAGATGATAAGCAGTTGAAATCGTTAGCTAAATGTAAAAAAAAAAGCCTTAAAATAGCCAAAAGTGATGAAGCAGCAGTCCAGCTTCTGTCACTGCAAGTTGTAGTAGTATGAATACAGACTTGACCAAAGTGACCTTGTCAGTTGTATAACAAAATAGTGTAAAAAAAAAAAAAAGGTTTGGAACCGTGGTTGTATCAGTGATTACCTATATTCAGTCAGAAAATGCAATATTGTGCTAACAAACAGCTAAGCATTAGAGCACTACCAGAGTTTCCTGAACTTCCCAGTACAGTCACTATTGCTGCCAGCTAGGGGACACAGTCTTTTTCTGGCGACAGTGGGAAAATTCAGCCTGAGAGTAAATGCCAGAGGACAAGCCTATGACCGAGCATCTTCTTCTCATCAGCCTCACTAAATAAACACATACTTGGACTGGGGCCCATTTCATCAAACTGTTATGTTTTAATAAATAAACCAGAGGAAATGGGAAGCCCTAAGTTGAAAGACCTTTACTGACTTTTCCTTAATGGATGTGAGGAATAAAGGCCAAACCTAAACCCTGTTACTTATTTCTCATGCTCAGGAGAAATTTGTGAGCTATAATGTCCATCATTTCAAGGGAGAATCCTTCACTCATAAACCTGCCCCAATACAAACCTGTTGACAGTGGAGTAGATGCAGTCCTCCTTTGTTTTCATTCTCTTAGTGGCCTCCATGATCACTGTACACCTGAAAGATGAAGAGAGGGAAAGAGAGAGGCATCTTCAGTCAGCGCCTTCACTCATTTCTCAGTTTTGTTGGGTGAGGTGTTTAGAGTTTGGATGTTAACATTTTTTATTGACATCCTGTCTGGCTTGGCTCCAGTTGACAATTAATGTCAGGCTTTTTCAATTAAACTGCATTTCTCTGCAGCACTTAATTCAAATTTGGGATTTTTTTTTTCTTAAAAGCAATAAGGGAATCTGATAATTAATATGATGAATAAAAAAAATACACAAACCTTTTCCCTTAGTGCAACAGAGTGGTCTAAAAATATGTTAATTTTGAAACTGCATTATCCAGTATCTGTATCACCACACTTGCAGATTTTTTTTCATTGTTACAGATCAATCTGAGGTTAAAATCCTTGTTGAGACTTGACATTTAATGCAGTGCCATTGCTCTTCTTCAGCTGGTAATGTACTGTATTCAGAGAACAGCTGGTCAGACTCAAGGAAAAACATGACAACAGCTCCCTCGAGCAGTTCATCATACAAAACAACATTTGAACAGTCATTAGGGACTGTTAGTGATTGAATCACTCTACTCTTTTATTCCTTTATTATTTTATGATCCTTATTTTGCCACTTTCTCTACACAGAAGACCGACCTTTGACCCCGACAGCAACAAAAATGCTCTGTTCCCCTCTGCATGACTCCCATATTTTCACTTCTCTAAGGCAAATTTTTCAAAGTTCAGTGGCCTTTAAGATAGTGCTAATTTCCCAGATCTGGAACCGGTGTCATCATTTGTTTAGTTGACATGTTGTCCAAGGGACTGTGCGTGATCCGAGGGACTGCATACAGCCTTTAAAGCTGTAGGTTAGCTGATTAGCTGGGAAACAAGGTATTCAGATATTTAGTTACTGTGTGATAGAGACAGCAACCATCCAGACATTGCACAATTAATCAGAAAATGCATAAGCGGTTGCAGTTTTCATTATGCAAATTCTTTTACGATTATCAAAATGAGTAAACAGAAATATGCCTCAATTTAATACCAGTTTATGCGATTTTAAGCAACAACACAGCAATGAAAATATGAGACAACGAAGTCTATTGAAATCCCACTCTAATCACATGCTGTGTATTAAATATACAAAATCTGTTTCTTACCTCCTTGTGTTGTACAGTTTCCATGTGTTCATTAGTGAAACGGGAGCATATGACCAAAGATGCTGCGATCACAGTATCCATTAGTATAACTTCCAAACCACACCAGTGGCGCGGTATGTCCAGATTAAACAGCCTGCGATAGGTTTTCTTTTCTGATTGAAGCCTTGATATCAGTTGTCAGACGTTTACTTGAGTGAGAATAGAAACCAACTACTGTTCATACACTCCTCTCCCCGCTTCCTCTCCAATCTTCAACTTTCATTCACTCTATCTCCTCCACACATCCTGAATATGACTCCCTCCCTCCCTCCCTCTCTCTCTCTCCCTCTCTCTCCCTCTCTCTCTCTCTCTCTGTCTCTCTCTCTCTGTCTAACTGTCTCTCTGTCTCTCTCTCTCTTTCTTTACGTATGTCTCTATCTGCTGGCTGTCTCCCACAAAAATGACATTATGCACATGCTATGTAGAATGAATGAATGACTTTTAATGCTTACTGATATGACTTAATTTCCATAACCTTTCCCAGTGACTCGTGGGACAGACGTCATTGTAGTACGTCATTTCTCTGCAAATCTGAAGTTCGTTGGGATTCACGCCACAGCTGCTTCTGGGCAGCAGTTGTTCATGTAGCTGTATCAGTTCACTCCCTTTGCCCCATGCTGTGTTTTCAATGCCATACCAAAATCAATAAGAGTGCTCCAATGAAATTTGCAAACTGGAAATGAAGAAAATAATGACAAGGGGTTCTTCTAAAAATGTTCCATTGAAAGAGAAAAGACTAAAAATATTTTTCTTTTAAATAATGTGGTGACCATAAAATAATACATTAAAATTTCATAAGCACTTTTTCTAAAATCTGCACAGAAAGCATCCTATGACATATTTTGTTTAATTTTGATTGTAATGCATTTCTGATTTATTTATTTATTTCTTCTTCCTGTCCTCTGTTATATCCATTTACAAAACTTAAAGGCATTGTTGATATTTTTTTTTAAATATTATTTTAGTTGAATTTATAACATATATACAGTTTACATTTTTTATATATAATTTTTGTCTTCAATTTTTATATAGTTCTTTTTTCTAATCCTCATTTCTTACACTACTCTTTTAGTGTAACCTTGCGAGTACAGGACAAATCACTTCACTGCACATCTGTCCTTAGTATGTGACAAAATTGCCTTTATATCCTTGAAACCTTGAATATATAGATGCTACAAAATATTGGAAAACAGTAGGCCTAGATTCAAGCATGGTGGAAATTTGGAACATGTAGTCTTTTAAAGTCATGCACAGCACCTCTTATATAAGGAGTACACACAGTTCAAACACATATATACTTAACAAACTATCTATACATTATTGATAAAGGCTTACCAGAATTCAAGTGCTGATAAAGTTCAGTTCCGGGTCCCTGCTTGCAGTGCAGTGAACTGGAGTGATTGAGTATTTTTTGGCGGTGCATATTTTAAACTATGTAAAAATGAACCAATGATAGGTTGGCTCTACCCCACAAGTGGCACGGTGACAGGTGAAAGCTGAACAGCTGTCTCTCCGGGTTCTACCGTCAGCTGTGCTTTTAAACGTGTAATTCCACCCCTGTCCTGCTGGTGGCAGCAGTGCGCCGCTATGCTCTGTGGCCGGTGACGTCCGTGACACATGAATCCACAGTAAACACAGACTGTCGCCACACCGAGGACCAGCTAGCTAACGATAACCTGAGCGGAGAGGTAAGAAAACGCCTTGTTTTGTTTCTTAATTCGCAGGACGTTGAAACTGTAACTGTTGGTTGTCTGTTTGTAGGCGCTTATTTTGTGTTTTCAGTGCAACAGACCCGGAACTCGCAAAGTAGATAAAGACTGTATAACGTTATGTGCCCTGTCACTCAGTAAGAAAGAGATGTGTAGAAACTGAAGCGGCAATTCTCCCTGTAACGACAAATTACTGCCGAAAATGAATACAGTTGACTGAACGGCTATGTGAGTACTGGGTGGAGTAAAAAAAAACGTTGTGTCCATATCATTGAACACGCAGAAATCCTTTCTTAAATCACAAAAGTCTCAACACATTGTTTACTCTAGAGGCACAAATTAGAGCTCGTCTGTTGTGTAATCTACAGAAAACTGATGGCGTCCTTTGAACAGAAGGTCCTGCTTACATTTTCCCTTTCAGTGTGGTGTTGTGCACACAGTGTACAGTGCTACAGTCCTAACTCTAAGTTAATGTATCCTAAAGGGGGTTGCAAAATGCTACCAAACACCAAACAACTGATTGATTTGATTTGCCTTCAAAGAGTTTGTCTAACCTGCACTTTTGCAGGTAACAGTTACTTGAGGTTGTGTTTTGCTAAAAGAATGGAGAAATATAAAATGGTAAGTCAGTCTGTGACATTTTAATAATATGAAGCTAATTAAAGAGGTTATTTTATTAATTACATGATTCTTGAGGCTCTGCTGGTTAGAGACATGTTAAAAAATATGTATTAGCAACTTCTCAAATATGGCTCTTGTGTCCTTGTGGAAAGGACACAGTCACATGCCCAATTGTGTTATTTGCCTGAGGTAGGCTTTTATTGCATTTCATTTAGAGCTAGAGTGAACAGATACACAACCAGATACAGTAAATGTCTCTTGGCAGGCAGTGTACCAGGACTTCCTTGGTTAAGTAGCAGTCATGTGAAATAAAAACATCGGCTGGTTATTGAAAGTATTTATCAAGGAAATGGAAGTGAGGCCACTGACTTTCATATCAGTGTTTCTGAGAGGAATGGTTCTCAACATTTTGGCTTCGACCCCCATTCATGACAGAAATTGTGTGTTACGTTCATTCAGTTACTGTACCAGTTTTTCGTACCACACAGCAGCTTCTGGTCTCATGTGTGTCTTTCAAAAACATGAGTCTAATGAGTTCCACACAGTAAGGTATACAGATTTTCAATTCGGGGAAAAGAGAGGAGATCGGGAGATACCTAAAGTTGAACTATTGGAACAGAAGAAGGGTTGATGCATCTTGACTTCCTAGTTAGTTGATTCCTGTGTAAACAACATAGTTGCAGCTGAACAGGCTGGTGGGGGAGGTGGTCACACTGGGCCCATTGATACCTGTGGCTGGCAGTGCACACCTCAGCATTCAGACAGGATGCGTCTATTAATGGTTGCCTCTTACATCTAAGGGGGAGGGACGCTTTCAGCAAGAAAGTGTTGCCTGTCATAGTGCAGAAATCATCCACGACTAGTTTGAGGAATATATAGATCACCAGGTGTTCATAGTCTCGGTTGAACTTTGAAACAAATTGAAATTTCATTAAAGACTGCTTGGTCAGCTGTGAACCTGGGATGTGGTGGTTTTCTAATGTGGATTTCTCTTTTGTAAAAGTTGTTGTCCTTAGTTATTTAACCGAGTTCTCAAATAAATGATAAATATTAATACAGTTAATTGACTTAATATTGGTTTCCTCCTTCTGCAGGCACAGCTTTGTTGTTGTTCTAGTGATGTGCTTGTCCCATCTGGCATAGTGGGAAACTCTAGCTGAACCCCCCTCCCTTCCTTATCCTGTCGCCGTTCCCCCGAAGACCTCCACCGACACCACCTCCTTCCTTGTTCCTACACCTCCTCTTCCTCCCTCCGGCCGCCCCTGTGATGCCTCCCTCGTGCTGTGGCTACCTGTCACAGTACACCCATCATCATCTGGTTACCTTCCTCCTCACCTTCTTTAGGTAAACTAAACCCGCCCTGCCTCCTGATGTAAAGATTTTTGCTGAAGGCTGTTAGAGCTGTTTTGCATTGTAAATGTAGTCCTGGGTTTCTAGATGACCCTGTGATACCAGTCATGTCCTCAAAGTATCTGGAAACCCAGTGAGAGCTGGACTGGTGCCAGTGACCTCTACAGTGTGACTTATGGGTCTTTTTTTGTAAGGCTATTGTGTTTTTTTGTTTTTTTGGGTGATTTTGGAGCTTTTAAAGCTTGCCACTTTATTGAACAGTTTAGAAACAAAAATGTCCAAACTCGTCGTTCATAACCTGCTGAGCCACAGCAGAATAGTGGAGTTGCATTAGTGGATGCAAAGTGAAATGGAAATATCAATGTAGCTAGTGTAGAAACACACTGAATCGATGTGAGCTATTAATTTAGGTGAAAGGTCTATGGGGCAAGGTTAACCCAGGTCCGACATTGTCAAGATAGCATAAACTATGTGTATTGATTTCCAACAGTCAGGCTTGCTACAGTACACAGCCTGGAGTTTATGAAATATAATATTTTGTAGTTGTAAGAAGTTTGCAGAAAAAAAAAGAACATAATAAATATTGTAAATAGCACATATTTTGTAAAGTGTTGACTGTGGAGATGATCTGTGAGGACAGAAGGTTTGTACACTGTTGGTCTTTTTCTTTTTTTCACTGAAGCACTTTTTTTTTTTTTTTTTTTTTTTTATCCTTAACCGCTGTAGAAAGTCACGTAATTTTGAAATGTGCAGCGAACAGAGCGAGGATTATATCATGTTTATGACCATCTGGTAAACATCAGCCATATACTTCTTTATTTAGGCCAAACTCAATCACATAGTTAATCATTAGTTAGTAGTTGTCATATCACACGTCTGTGGCCATGTCACCATAGTCATGACACACAGTGCAGTCTGCAGCAGATAGTGGCACACAGTGAACTCTGCAGTTGTGTTTGCATTGGATGTTTTGTTTTTTTTCCCATTTCCTATTTCTTAGATAACAATGGAAAGCTATCAGTGTTTCCTTTAAATTCTTGCATCAGATTTTAACTGCTACCACTGTGGAATTTAATCGTGTCCAAAAGGAAAATTAGCTTTTATTGTTTGACCTTATGAAGCCCAAAAAAAACCAAAACAAGATAATGTGGTGTATTGTGGTATTTTTATGCAAATTCTTGCCACTTTTCAAACCATTAGCACTAAATTGTTCCAGTATTTTAAACAAGCATTAAGTAATAGAGCAGTTGCATCCCCTCCCTGAAGTATGACCTTTTTGTTTCTAAATGGATGCTGTTAAATAAATCTCATATCAAATAAGTTTTTCTGACTAACGCTCTTTTCTGTCTCTCCAGCTATGTGTTGCTGCATGCGTCACGGAAGACGTTCAGCAATGTGAAAGTGAGCATCTCAGCCCAGTGGACGCCATCCATCCAGAATGACAGTGCAGCCACTTTCTCCCCTGGCGAGGTACGGAGCACCAGCACAACAGAGCAGCAGACAGTACAATGCAGGAACAATGTTTCTCCCACACATACTGTAGATGCTCACTTGGTTCGATAAAACAAATGATAATTGAAATCCCTGTTGTAGTTAAACTGCATTTGATTAACTGTGTTTTTCTCTGACTCTCCTAGACGTGGGAGGACAATCGTCTGTTTACAGATGAAAAGCAGGCCACTCTGTTCCTTGGAGCTCTGGACTCCATCTTTCTCTTTTCATATGCCGTGGTGAGTATGTTTTTCTGTGTTTAACAAGCTCCTGAGAGCAGCGACATCTGCCACTGAAATGAGTTAGAACTGGCCGAGGCGGATGCTGGCATGCATTCACAGTTTGCCAAGTTGGGCTGGGACTGAAATCTGATCCCTGTTGCTCGCATTTATTCAGGCATGTTGGCCTCTAACAGCAGGAAAAAAAATAGAGATATAAATCATTTGAAATAGACAACTGCACGGAAAATTCCTGTTATATGATGAAACAGAGTGAAAATAAGTTAAAGCACCTCATAACACCCCTCAGACGTATTACATCTGTTGCTGGGACACAGTGTGAAGTACATCATCCCGTTTAATTTTGATCCAAATCAGACCTGAAGTCATCTTCTTTTAATCTTGAGTCTCTTCTGTTTGTTCCTGTCCACACAGGGCCTGTATTTGAGTGGTGTGATTGGGGACAGAGTAAACTTGCGCTACGTGCTCTGCTTCGGCCTGTGTGGCTCTGCTGCAGTGGTAAGAACATGGACCTCGAGTGGTATTATTTATCTCTTGACAGTGCTCCATGGGGCGATCCCACTTTTGTTGTTGAAGTCAAGTTGTAAATCGTCATGGTGTTGATTTAAAGTATTTTATCTTTTCTGTAATTGGCTGTTTTTGGAAATGTTTTTCCATTTACTGTTTTTCTTTCTGAAGGCTAAAATAAAAATTTTAAATGTATTATATATATATTTTTTTTGTTGTTTTTAAAGGTGTAAGGCAGAAATAAGATATGTAAGAGGTGGGAAAAAAAGTTGGTGTCTACCAGGACATTGTGATACCTGGTGTTAATATAAAACTCACTATTTATTAATGTTGATGTTGTCAAGTATAAATCAAATGCCAACGTTATAAACGACTTCATCCTCTATGCGGGTTTTTAAACATCTTAAAAGAATTGCGAATAATGTTTTTCAATACAACTGTAGCTGTTTGTGTGTTTGCAGGAGTTTTTGTTTGGCACTCTAACAGAATGGCTCCACATCTACAACATCTATCTGTACTGTGGCCTGTGGGTGCTGAACGGGCTGCTGCAGTCGGCCGTGTGGCCGTGCGTGGTGGCCGTCATGGGCAACTGGTTCGGCAAAACGGGGTGTGTGCTGTTTCTCCATTTATAAAACCTGCTTTTATCCAACACTCCTTCAAGTATTCCCAGCATCTGTCAAGCCCAGAAATATTTAGTCAAGTCGAGCTTTATGATGCACACCCACACACAGAATCACACACACTCACACTCGCACAAAGACATCCATTCACTGGTGCTGCTGCCAAAACATAGACGCCATTTAGAGTCAGTTTTCCGCAGCAGCAGAACTTGCAAATATAATTTGCTGGCTATAAAAATAGCAAGTCACTGACCTGTCTGTGAAATACCGTTTCATAAAATATACTACTTTCTGTATTTAAAGTGGTTTTTCTTTTGGGAGACAATATCTGAAAATAAAACCAAAAGTATTTAAAAAATAATATTTCTAACTTTTAATAATTAAACTTCTGGATATTGTTTTCCAGGCGGGGCTTTGTGTTTGGCCTGTGGAGTGCTTGTGCCTCTGTAGGCAACATCCTGGGGGCCTTCTTAGCGTCTAGTGTGCTCAAGTATGGATACGAGGTAACACACACGTACACACTTTACTGATGCCGTTTACCATAACATTCTCAGCAGCGAAATGCTAACATGGTGTAATGTGTGTTGCTGTGTGCAGTATGCCTTCCTGGTGACCTCGGTGGTGCAGTTTGCTGGCGGGGTGGTGGTGTTCTTCGGCCTGCTCACGTCTCCAAAAGAAGTCGGTAAGGACTGCAGGGAACATATTAGAAAACGTGTTCTCTGAATGTATTCAAGTGCATCCTAATGTAAAATGCTGCTTAGATGCCTGTTTTCCATATAACACTGGAAGATGAAATCCTGATGGCTATATGTTTTCAGTCACATTGTTTCTTTTTCAACTTTACTTTAAATTGACCTTGTTCCCACAGAAACCAGTTTGAACTTGTGTCACACTTAACACTGGGAAACTGTGCCTGAAATAGAAACAGTTGTGTGTGTTTGTGTTACCTACACTCTTGACTGAATTCTCCACAGCTTTGAATGTGTGTTTCTGTGTGTGTGTGTGTGTGCACATCAGGTTTGAGTTTGGAGTCCGAGACTAGACTCAGCCCGGTGGAGACGGACACAGACAGCCACAGGCCTCTGATGAGTGACGAGGAGGATGAGGTGAAGGCGGAGGTGTATAGCAGACGATACCAGACAGTTCAGCAGCCGGATGAACCCCTGGCCGAGTCACCTCAAGCTATCAGCTTCTGCCAGGCCTTTTGTCTGCCCGGAGTGCTACCTGTGAGTCTGAAGTACCAACAAGTCAAGACAAATTCATTTACAACTGGCACTTTGCCACACACCCCATGTTGACTCTGTCTCTGTTTGAACTGCAGTACTCCCTGGCTTACGCATGTCTGAAGCTGGTCAACTACTCCTTCTTCTTCTGGCTTCCTTTCTACCTGAGCAACAACTACGGCTGGAAGGAGGCCGAGGCCGACCGCCTGTCGGTGTGGTATGACGTTGGAGGAATCATCGGTAAGTGGTGGTGCTACTTTTGTTTTAATCATTTTAACATATAACAAAGACAGAAGACAGAATTACATCTCTTTAATAGGCTGGAAATAAATAAGAACTGAAACAAATAGTTGATTAATCGACCGACAAGGCAAACGATCTGCAGCTATTTTAATCAATTGAAGTCATTTTTCAAGAAAAAATGCCAAACATTTCCTAGTTCCAGCTTCTCCAGTGTGGGAAGTTGATGCTCTTCTTTGACTTGCGAGTTCATTCACTGAACCTTTGGGTTGTGGACTGTTGGCCATACAAAACTAGCAATTTGAATATGTCCTTGGGTTTTAGGAAACTGTGTGGAGCATTGTTTTTTTTTTTACTATTTTGCAACATTTTATTGACAAAATGATTTATCAAAAAGAAACATTTACATAAACAGACATTGTGTATTCACTGCTTATCTTATTCAAAAATTCTGATGGCTATGAACTGCTTCTGCCTTGTCTTTTTATAAATCTCTAAATATCAACAATTCTCAGCATGGCTCTGTCATCTTGTTTCTTTGTGTCAGGAGGAACAGTTCAGGGTCTGATCTCTGACTTCATGGGTAAGAGAGCCCCGGTGTTGGCATTCAGTCTGGCAATGGCGATGGGAGCCCTGGTGGGATACAGCCGTGAGTACATACACATTATCACGCTTTGAAGACTGTAAATGATCAAAATGAAATTACAAAATGAATTTTTGTTTTTCTTATTTCCTGCTGTCCATCACTTCAACATATTAAGCTCAATATGTGATAAAAATCTGCACTTCTGAGGCTTAAAAATGTAATCCGTCTCCCTCCTCTCTCAGGCTCGCCTAATGACCAGGTGATAAACGCTGTGCTGCTGGCAGTCACCGGCTTCTTCATTGGTGGCCCGTCCAATATGATCAGCTCCGCCATATCTGCCGACCTGGGGAGACAGGAGGCTCTGAGAGGCAGTCAGGAGGCTCTCGCTACTGTTACTGGTATAGTGGATGGAACTGGCAGTATAGGAGCTGCGGGGGGACAGGTAAACAAAAATACGGGCTATTCCACAAGGATTCAGTTTATTGTGCTTAAAATTCATTAAGAGAAAAAAGCAGGAAAAGATAACACTAACAGGATTAAATTACAAAATAAAAGACCTAATAGTTTGTTACTGTGGTCAGTGATTTTCTCTGTACTCAGCTATTGAAAAGCATGGACGGTCTTGTCCTGGTACATTTGTCCTGCCATTGAAGTCTGTTTAAAATAGAACCATTGCACTGCAAGTAATACGTTTGACAACATGTTTGTATTTTCATGTGATGGAATTGCTGGCTTGCACTTTAAGGTTTTCCAACACACACTACTTTCACACATTTTGCAACCGCTGCACCACGTTAACTGTGAGAGCTAAGGTTTGCACATCTACTAAATTTTACTGCTCCTTAGCTTAGATAAGTAGTTGTCGGCTGGTCATTGACCTAATCATGTTAAAAACAGTTTTAGGTACAAATGGCGTCACTGAATTCTGAATTAGCATTAATTACAAGAACATTGCAGCACTACAGAGAGGATTAAGTGTAAATATTGTAGACATAAATATTGTAGACGACAGTGTCGAGCAGTGGTTCTACCCACAGTCACATCCACAGATTGATTTTTAATCAGTGCATTTTTATCTCCATCACCCTCTAGTACCTGGTGTCCCTGATTGAGAGCAAGCTGGGGTGGATGTGTGTGTTCTACTTCTTCATCGTCATGGTAAGATGATCTCCCCTAAAATTACAACGGACCTTTTTCACAGGACATTCTGACAGTAGGCCGAGCACAGGTGTAATTCATAAAATGAATGATGCTTCAGTTTCAGGACCCTCAGTGTCACACTAGCTGCTGTTATACAGCATGTTCAAGCCAGCAATGTTCTGTGTGGGGCATTGCTGTTTTGGATTTATGTCCGCAGCAGTGGTAGTCACAGAGCACGTCTGTGTAGAGCCGGCATGGCGAGACAGACGCCAATGCTGTTTTGTTACATGTTACGCCTTGAGGTCACGCCTCTGACTCTGGAGCATGCTATATAAAAGCACACACTGGGCCAGAATTATTCCTGCTTGTTTGGTCCAGTGTAAACAAGCAAATGCGGTGTAACGAGTGGTCTTCTTGGCGGCAATATAGAGGGATCTCTGTATAAAAAGGGGCTACTGTCACAGCCTACTGTGACTACACTTGAATAGAACAGTGCTTTTCCTTTTACTTTAAGTCAGAACGTCTGCTGTGTGTAAGACCTGATGTTTTTACACCTACATTGGCGTAAAAACAACTTCTCAATTGCTAGTTTTGACTTGTGTACAGAGTATGAATTAATACCACCTTCTTTTGTTTTTCTACTACAGACAGGGGGCAGCATTGTGTTCATCACTCCCTTGCTCCTCAAAGAACTGCGTGCCATGTGGAGAGACAGACGAGCGCTGCGACACCAGCTTTGAAAGCCTCAACATCTGCCCACCGCAGCGTTTCTACTGTTATCAGTGGCGACACAGCAGATCTGCTCAGAAACAGCTCTTTGTAGGTGAGTTGTGGGGTGTGCAAAGATTTGGTGAAGGCCATTTCTCACGATCAAGAGGGTTAAGGTGACCTAGAGTTTCACACCCACAACCGCAAGCGTATGTCTATTAACAACCATGTGAGCAGGCAGAGAGTCCTTGAGCACAACACTGAGGTTTTATCCACTCACTGAAAACCTAAAATGTTATTGTACACTCCCTATAGTGCAAATGCAAGGATTTAGAGGTTGAAGTGTCTGAGTGAACAAAGCTTTGAAAGGTAACCGGATGTCAGTCAGAGCAGTCTGTGAATTCAGGCTTTGCAGGGCCCTCACAGAATGTACTAGTGTATATATTTAAGGGTTTAAACAGATGTAAATATTTTACATGTAGATGTACTTGAGTCAAGTATGCATTTGAATGATGATCATGAATTTGAATTTTAAACCTGGAGTTCTTAATTTAAAGATGAGGCCCTTTCAGACAATCTGAGGGTCAGAATTGCCTAACGAATGTGAATAATAATTGTTATGTAGAACCATATTGTCAGCTTTTGTAGATATGTATGATATTTGTTTTTAGTTGAAATAATAAACATTGCACTCTAGGATTCTTACAATGATTAGATAAAGTCTTAAAGATTTTAGTAAACCACTTAGATTTTCGCTGGGTTTTGGGGAAGTTCCACCACGCAGCCACTTGATTTCTACTGTGTACAGTTTTGTGTAATCGGGGTCAGGAATTATACTGTAAAGGCTTTTCATTACGTGGGCTAGTTCTCTTGATTCTCTGTTCATTTCAGTTACTAATTTGATATTTGCTCATCATTCCCTTTTCACTTCCTGTTCAAAGGAATGTATACCGTTTCTTAGGTTACAAGAGATCCCCATGAAAACCCTTTTCTCACCCTTTTAGTTTACAGTGTAGCGTACAAGAGGGAACGGTTTAGCCTGTTTGTAGCCGGAGCTACAAGTTTGTTTGGGGGTAAAATACTGGTCTTTTTTATGTCTTATTTAATGATATACAGGGTGGGTAAATGATCATACAACACCAGCTGTTTGCTAGTTTACACCTGAACACTGTGTGTCTGTATTATTAGACACACTGGTTGGTAACCAGATAGCAATTCAATGAAGATTGTTTTGGTTAAAATCAGACTAAAGTAGGTGATTTACCAAACACTATGGTCAGTAGATACTAGAGACAGTTTGCACCCTTGTATGCAGATACATGAATCATCATGTAAAGTGCTTTTAACATGTAGGAAGACTGATATCAGGGCATATTTTTACCATCATCGCTGGTATGAGATTGGTTCCTAATGCTCAACTTAACAACTAAACGTTTCTAATGCAATGGAGCTTAAAATGATACTTGAACTTCTGGTATCTCTGAACTCAAATTTAATAGAATGTAAATTTAACTGCATCTGTGGTGTATTTTTTATTTGTTTTATTTGTATGTTTCAGGTTTTAACCAATGTAAATATAATTGTTGTTTTAAATAAATGCAAATGACATTTTGCAAATCATCTATATTTCAGATAGGATTCTTTTGGTTTGGGTGGAAACTTGAACTTGATTTTATTATAGCTTCTAATCTGCACTCGATATGTGCAGTTTTGCATCAAAACCACCGAGAGGCGCTATTAATGCAAAAGAAACCTTCCATTTCAGTCCTTTTTTCTCTGATGCATCAAACAGTTGAAACAAACTTGAGACCAGTACTTTGTGGTTTATCATTTCTCATTCATTAACATTTTATTATTTTGAGCACACTCTGAAATTAAAATTATGAAAGGCAACAGTGCACCAATAACCCATCAAAGGAATCTCTTAACATTTTCAATACAAATATTACTATCAAAACAGATATAATTCTGATCCCATATAATTACACTTCTTACATGTTGCAAGGAAATATAAATCACTATTAAATTACAATAAAATCATTACAAATGGTATACAAAGATTATCATACATTCATGCATATACAAAGTAACAAAAACACTACACTTTGATATAGCTGCGACAGGTGAATTAGGAAAGCAGAGTTTGCTTGAGCACAGTGAGACACCCAACAGATATGTCTTGACTCAACTTTTTTTTTTTTTTTTTCCTGCCAATGGACTTAACTTGAATTTAAACAAGGCCATAGAAAACCTTAGAAACTCTGTCCAACAATGTGAAAAGTCTGATGGGAGGAAAAAAAAGTTGAATTGTCAAGAAATTCCTAATCTGTGCCTCAAATTCTCACTGAGGATTTGTATGGTTTTTAAAGATTACCATAAAAAAATAGTTCTCTTGTCAACAATGTTTAAAGTAGTGCAAAGATATAGTTTCAGAAATAACAGTTAGTTATAGCAGGGAATTTAGAATTATTTCCCCACAAAACAATGATATAATACTCAAAATAAGTTAATATAGACTTTGAAAGTTTTGTCTTTAACACACTGAGAGGATAGATGCACACACAAACACTGTCACACACTCACACACATATATAAGTTGACAGAAAAACAAGGATTCCTGACGAATTTAAAACAATTTTAAATAGCCATGCGTGCTATTTTTAAATCTGTGAAATATAGCCGTGTAGAGCCATGAAAAACCCCAACATTATGTTAACATGATTATGAACAACTGCTTTGATGCCAATTTTTCGCAGAGACTGAGGCGGGTTGTTTGTGAAAGAGACTGTGAGACTTTTAAGGGGGCAGACAAAAGCTCGTCTGAAACGCAGGCCACTCGTCTGGCCGCAGAAATCCTTTGATCCAGACGGGCTCTGGGGCATTTTCTCCTGAAGTTTCTCTATTAAATTTTGTCCCTTCCCCTCGTCCTTCCCCCACACCACTATTCCTCGGCTCTGTCTATTTCTGGGAAAGCTGTCAAAGCGAGGCAGTGAGAGAGCGAGAGACAACAAAAGCCGCCTGAACTCCCTCCTCCCCACCCACCTAAACCCCCCGGGAGGGGCTGGAGTTTCCTCTGCACCAAGCAGGGCCTCACTCTGACACACTGACTCTTTTACCTGATGTGAAACTCGACATGAAGCGCTGAACCTCCACAGCTTTTACCACAACAGAATAATTATTTCTGTCTCTATTTTGTGCAACAACCTGAGCTACATTGGTTTTGTTTGAATTTTTTTTTTTGTGTGTGTAACTTGTTTGAGTAACTAAATCACATGATGAGGTAGTAAGAGTGGATTAACTCAGGTTATGGCTTATGTCCGAATACAAAATAGAATGACTGTACGTAGGGAGAGAAAAGTAGGCACATCCTATTTGAGTCACCTCTCTTGAAGGTTGAGCAGTTATGGGCTACATCTCGAGATCTTTTGTGGCCCATAACCGATCACTCACTGTTTCTAATTAAGTGGCACAGCAGTTTCTCTTTGGTTCAACTGCCTCAGCCGCCGCAACTTTTACAACTGGTGAAAACCTCAAGATAAAACCACACCAACACATTCATACACACAGGCATGCATATATATATATATATATATATATATATACACACATATACACACACAATGCAAACACTTTCAAAACTGCACTGCGATAGCAAATGTGATACAGCTCAACTCATCATAATAAAAAAATTACCAAAAGTAGAATCTAAAGTTTTGATTCCTCTGAGCTGCAACACAGTGATAAAACACTACATTCCCTTCATGGAGAAAAGAGTTGCATTTAAAACCTACAAGTTGGACATCACATAAAGACAAAGAGTGGGAGATGCTACATTATTAAAAGCATAAAGCTGAAAAAAACATACAACTAAATAAGGTATGTTCTGGTCTGTTGCCAAAAAATTATTTTTTACAACCCCATTATGCAAATAATACAAAGCAAAAAAGGAATATAGATTGGAATTTGAACATCTTTTGCTATGTTGTTATGGTGTAAAATATATATGGCCAATATTCTTAAGTGGCAACGGTGGAGTGTATATGTGCCATAATAACTTCTAGTCTTAGGCATAATTTGGGGGCAATGGCATGTTTCCACAAACACCTTATCTTACCTCGTTTAACACATTGCTTTCCTTTTTTTTTTTTTTTTTTTTTTTTAATTTTAATTTATTTAGACGATGATCTAGCATCGTGAAAAATAAATAAATAGTCACAATTGGAATATTATAATTATTATTATTACTCAAAATTTAAGTCACTACCATACAGGTTTGGCCGCATGACCTCATTGCTAAACCTCCACCGTTGACCTTTAACCTGATGCTAATCACAGTCGCGCTGCCAAAATTTTTAACCCTGGGTGAGGTTTTGACCCTTGGCTCAACTCGAGCTTTTGGAGCCGTGGGGTGAGACTAAGGGCTAAGTGTGATGCGAGGCCAGGAATAGTAACTCATCTAATCAAAACCTCTTATGACTTTTAGCAAGAGGGAGAAAAAAGGTCGAGGACTGAGGTCAAATACTATCCGTGGCCTGTTTCAGAAGAAACTTAACCTCGTAGAACTAAAGCCCATTTTCTGTTATTTCCTGAAAGAGTGCATTCAAAATCATTTCACAGTATAGTCAGCTGAGGAAAACAGTATATAGAATATATACACTATATGTAAAAATATTGATAATTATCCAAAAACCGTTGTAAAGTCTGAGCATGATTAACTACGGAAACTGTAGCTTCCTTGTGCTGAAAATTAAAGGTATGTGGTGTTGGAGGAGTTTTTAAGCCCATGCTGTATGAGCTTGTGGACAGTCAGTTACAAATTGCTACATATATACATATGATATGAGACATATCTATGTGAGGTGACGTGTGGAGGGACGTGGACCACTTGGTGGCCCTCCACTGGGTCTCGTTGTGCTTTTCTACTGACGGGAAGATGCTTTATAATGCAGAAGCTTCCTCTTCTTCACCTTGAAGAAATCTGGACAGGGGAAAAAAAGACAATGCAATGTCAGAAAAAAACAGTACAACAACTATAATCTGTTGTACTTGTACCACATTGGAACATAAATATATATGATTTGGGTCAAGAAATCAAGGCAGTTTTAAAGGAAACGTTCAATATCATCAAACTCAGCAAGACTGCAAAGAGGAGGATTTCCAAAAACCATGACATTCCATGGACTGACCTGTGATGGCGGACTGTCTACGTTTCCCTGGCCGTTGCAGCCTGTAGCAGCCTCTGGTGGTCACCTCCAGGTATTCATCCCCCGACCCAGACCCACACGAGCTGCTGGACACTGGGGAATCCTCACCCGATGAAGACGACGTCCGCCTCATGCCCTTCGTCATCCCGACTCTGGGCCGCGCCACCGGCCTCACCATGCAACTGTGGTAGAATGCCGGCACATCCTGGCACCTGAGCTCCTCCCACTTGATGTTGGAGCCCTCTCCTGGCATGTCGCTCTGGAAATCGAAGTTCCACCGCTTGTTGGCCACCTCCACACTCATGCAGAGCAGCCTCTGGAAGTCCTGCTGCAGCTGCTGGTGGTCCACGGGCCCAAAGAGATTCCTCCGCACCGGCCCCACCTTCAGCTCCAAGGCCTCGATGCCCCCCAGGCGGGAGAGGCCTGAGTCAGATGCCGTAGCTGATCCTGCGGTTGATACTGATGGAGAGGCCATCGCCATGTCCCTATTAGAGAATAAACACATACAGACACACGCAGCATTAGAGGAAGGGCAGAGGTTGAATGCTGGTTTTGTCAGTCCTGTAGAGTTTCAATGAGGTGTGATCTGGGGTTTTACTGGAATGGATTACAAACACATACACACACACACACATCCAAGCTATTAAATGCTCAAACCCCTCACACACCATCTGCCCTCTTGGGCGCCTTTGTGTTTTATGTGATCAAATACATGTGTGCCCTAACCCAGTAAGTAATTACTGCAGCAACAGGTAACTGAACCAACACCAAATAAATCTCCAACAACATTCACTGCCCTGCCGTGTTAAAGTGAACCTGATTCGGCACCTGCTCTGGTGTCTGCCAGTCAAAGGTCGACAGTAAAGGTCAGCAGGTCACAGAGAGAAAAGACCCGTGTATACCACTTGTGAGGAATGCTTTCCGCATTCCCCATCTGACTCATCTAATTAGAGTGATTGAGACTGATCTGCACTGGTATTTGGCTTTCTACCTTGAGTTTCCTGCTTCATCACATCTCGACCTACATTATCTCTAAGCACATTCAAATAATATTTCACATGGACGTGGATAACAACCACATCTCTTGCTGACTCTGTCTGAGCCTCTGAACCTCACCCTTATCAGCTATGTGTAGGCACTAAAAGCAGATGATGTTTTCTGGGATGGGCACTAACTACTATAGAGATATAAGGTTCTGCTACTGATGTAATGCTATACTATATATGGTCTTATCCTAAACCCTAACATACAATATAAACTAAATTGGTAAGGTGGCTCCTGCATTTTTATCATTTGATCTTTGGCCTCGTGATGTACTGGGGCCCTGTGTCCAAAACTAGCTATAACACCTTTAATATTTCAATTAATATTTAGCTTTTATGGTTCACTTTCCTAAACAAATTTGCATGTAATCCAGTTATCATGAAGTCATTTAGAGTCAAAGAGTGGGTGGGACCTTAAAGGGGGCGGACCCAGCTCATTAATTAATCCAGTGTTACTCCAGCCATGTAGTTTAGAGAGAAATTGTATGAAAATTTCAATAATCATGCCCCAAATGTCCCATTCTGGGCATATTTAGTAAAAGAAAAACAGACTACACAGGATACATTTCATCCCCAGACAACAAAATAGCTTCAGTGTAAAAGCAGTAAGCTGTTTATTATAATTGCTTAATTAGCTCAATTAAACTGGAAATGATTCAGTCATTTGTGGTGCCTATAAGGCCTTGGCAGTTAAAACACAGAAATGGAAAAATGTGCAGAGTGATTTTTAGAAAACACCAACATGTCACCATAATCATCGCAAGATCAGCCTGAAGACAGAAGTAAGAGGCCGACTTAAAAAAACACCCCTGCGGAGGCAGAGGCAGGGGAGGGGGTCTTCAGAGTGTTGCGCAATTGTTTGACACATACAGAATATATGGCTAAGAGCACTTTCACAAGTCAAATAGCTTGTAATTTTACGATGTCAGTCTACCCATAAAAACCGTTAGAAACCATGTGTTTGAAGCCACAGCAGGCGACTAATTCACACATTTTCCTAAGTGAGCACTGTGCTCTAATTTCTATTCATTACACATTTAACCAGCATAATTTCAGTTTCCTTTTTTACGTTTCTTTCGCAGCTCTTTTCTAAAAAAGACTCATTGAGACAACATAAGAAAAAAACAAAACCAAAATTGCTTTCTTTCTTTCGCTATCAGGGCTGCTGAAGTCCCCGGGTGAAAGTTGTTTGCGTCGAAAATGAAGTGGGCGCGGTATGCAGATCAGGTTTCCATAGTGGTCGGTGTCCCCACTTCCAGAAAAACACCGAGTAAACCCCCCCCATAATTCACCTAAACTCTCCAAAAACAAAGAGCACCGAAGTTAAAAAATGCACCAACTACTTCTGCAAACCCCAAATCACCACTGAAAAGCGTTGACTATAACAACATGGGGAAATTAACTTTGTAAAATGAGTAAAGTCTGGAGAAAAAACTTCGTGACGCAGTTACACTCAGAGGATGTGGGTCAATGAGATGCGACACACAAACAGCCCGCATCTTGTCACGGCACTTAACACTCATATTACACACACAACAGCCACAAATATTCACTTATATATTACAAACAGCAACAGAAAAGTTTTAGCTCACGTTTACACTGACATTGTCTCTGATTAATGTCATTAACGAAGCCTCTAGCAAAGCGAGTGAAATCTTAGACAACTGAATCAACCTTACATTTATCCATACCAAATAAAAAAGAACCACCGACCAAACAATTGTCTGAATAAAATACTTCAAAAAATATAACATACTATAACTTTAAACAATGACAAGCAAAAAAAATGCATTTTCCTCTTACCATCAGCGTCAATACTTCTAAGTGTTCAAAAGCGGAGCTTGACGGCTTTGGTCCCCAAACTAAGCACAATTCCTACAGTCACAGAGCAATGAAAAGCGTCCCCGACAGCCCCGTGGAAATAGACACTGTCACGTTGAGAAGTTAGAGTAGACCTGACTCACAGGAGGGTTGCTCCTGTCCCCTTATCTGCGACCTGTTTGTTATGGACTCAAGAGACAAGGGGGACGTCCTTCTAGAGGACTGAAATCACGTGGTTTCCATCAAAACAGTTATTGTTGGAGCTCAGCCAGGAGGTAAACAAGGCCATCATAATTTCTTACGACAATTAAAAGCATAACAGGCTGCAGTTGAATTGATGCAAAAGTGGGCAGAAAAGTATCCAAAATGTATGAGAGGTGGAAAAAAAGTAATATAACTGCATTCCATACGGTTTTGTTATGCATTCATGAAACGGTATTTGTGATAATAGTTTCTTACCCTGTGATCATGAATGATGCAAAAATCCCCTGTTTGTCTCTGTGCGCTCCTGCTGCTGACCTGTTGCTCCTACTCTCCTCTGTGCCCTTGTGCTTTGCTTCTTCTCCAGAGCAACTAGAAGTAGGTCAAATATCTTGGCAATGGCGGCCATTTCCTCTTCTCTCTCAAATGTGACACACATTCTCGTGTAGTGCTTGCATCACGTTTTGTTTGGGCGCCGCGCCCACATCCTCCAGTCACGTTGAACTGCAACGTGAGCGAGACAACTCCATTTTGACTTCTTCTCCTGCAGATTTACCACATACCCATTTGGATATTTACTTATGCAGTGATAAAAATCACCGACACACCCTGTGCCTGGTTATGTGCATGTAGTTACTAATGGAAAAAGTGAAGAACAAATACTTCTATTTCTCCTTATAACTGAAAAAAAGTTTGACTTTTTGACCTTTTAATTGACCTATATTGTTAAAATAATAATGATAATCAGATTCAGGTGAAGCTGTATAGAAAACTAAATAAGACAAATCTCATTTGTTCCTAAGCCAAATACACATGAGAATTCCACTTTTATAACTTACTTAACTTTTCTGGTTTAATGTACGTTGGAGTTCTAAATGCTGTTTTTCTTTGTATTTTTTCAAAATAAACGGAATATCTTTGGGTCTTAGACATGTAGTTGGATAAAAAAAAGCTTTTTGAATGTGCAACTTTGGGCATCCAGAACTTAAGATGGGCATATTCCCATGATCAATCAATTAGCCTAATTGTGAAATTAATTAGCCTAGACTAATCTTTAATGAAAATAATAATTAGGTGCAGCCCTAAAATTTAAAGTGTTTTTTCCAATTTTCCCATGTGTAAAAGGCAGATTATTGATAATTTAATACTCATTAGTATTACATTTCACCCTTTCCTTTCTTGCATTACATCTTTACCTGTTTTCTCCCCTCAAACTTTTGTAATATCTTTATTTCCAATTCTTGAACGACTGCGTGCTCATTAACCCTTCCTTTTTACATGACTTGTTTTCCCAGCAGCCTTCCTACACCAGTCGTGACACATTTCTTTTGTGACACACTGTGGGCTCTCCTTCCTAATGTAATTGTGACATGGGTCCTCTTCTTTTCTATTATTACATAGGCTTTCTGTCACGTTTTCCTCACTCATTACATGGGGAGCAGTCCTACTGTTGCATAGCTTTTCAGTGACATAATATAAGAGTCATCTCAGAGGCCTGCTAGACGATCAACGCCCCTCATTTAGAAAGGTTATTCCAGGTTTTACACAGCGCCTGGACCGTTTCATTCAAATGATGTTTTCTCAGTTCACACACTGGAAACGCATTCAACGTTTCTGCTGCAGTTTATGAGAGGCACTGCTTTAATAATGTCAAAGCAGGTAGCAGCGACTGTGGAGTGCTTATTGTTTGTGTGTGTAGTGTGTGACAGCCGAAGCCTAGAAGTAATTACATCACCACTATGAAATGATTCTTGGTTGGAAAACGTTATTTTCACATATGGGGGGGGGGGGTTTGCAAAAGTTCAAGGCAGTTCAGCACAAGACTCCAAGCAAATAAAACAGTTTCCCCAAATGCAGCCAAGTGTGTTTATGGGTTCTACAAAAAAAAAAAAACAAATCCTGGATTTGATGTACTTGGATTATGAACCAAAAAGAAAGGAACTGTATGAAAATGATAAGGTTAGAGAGAGAGGTTGAACCTTTAAAAAAAGACAAGAATAATACAATAAATAATAATAATCCTGGAGCAAAACTATTTGAAAACCTTCCTCTCTCCCTGCTTTCTGACCTCATCTGACCCAATTATTTTTGTACAGCCTCTAAAGAAAAAAAAAAAAAAAATGTGATTGTAGTCTATGAATGATCAACTCTTCCACTGACATCATTTTCTCACCACAAACCTCTACATGCTGAGTTATTTTAGGTCTCCCATCATAATAGTCAAATAAGGGTTGTGTCCCAGTTCCCTAATGGCCCACTAATCTGAGTGTCAACTGGCCTTTATACACTGTCATATTTCACAGTAGACAATGAGCCCTCAGCAGCATGATCCCTCACTGTTTTGTCAGCTCCCTGACCTGTATTTACAGTCTGTTTATTGTTCTCCATTAAATTCCTAATCCTTCTTCTTATTGTCTACAGTGCTGTGTGTGTTTTGGTGTGCGCCCACCCGACCCCCGTCCTTAATCCTGCGCTGTATGTTACAGTTGGTTATGCAGTCATTAAGCCCATTGTTTCCCCTCCACGGTCAGTGCCCTTTGAATACATTAGCATGCTTGTAAAACAACAGTCACACAGTGCAATGTGACTCAGGTCAGAAGATGACATGCTGGGGGACTGTCATGGTGGGTCTTGTGCTTGCAACAAAAAAAAAAATGATGTGGCTCTTTTCAGTCAAAAGTTACTGATTCACTGTAGAATAATGCAAACAAAGGACACAACAGAGAGCCCATTAGGAAGCTAACGCTGCACATATCCTACAGCAGCAGGAAGTCGAATGCAATTGTATTTGGTTTGAGTGTTAATCAGTTGGAAGTGATGTGTGATGTAATGGCACTTGTCAGATCAGGAAGAGAATCCAAGGAAGCTGCTTATAAGATAAAGTCAATCAAATTTAGTTCAAAATCAAGCAACTGCAACATAGTAAATGACTGAGACATCGTCAGCAGCCTTCATGCTCGTCACTGTGTTCACTTTAATACCAGATTAAAACACACATATCGTTGTCTTAATCTTATTAAAGAAATAGTTTAATATTTTGGGAATTAAACATATTCGCTGTTTCATGCTGAAGCTGGCACCAGCAGACGGTTAGCTTAGCTTAGCAATAAGACTGAAAACAACAACTAGCTTGACTCAGACCTGATTTGGCCTGATTTTTTGTTTTTGTTTTTTGTTTGTTTTGTTTTTCAGGTTGTTGTTGTTGTTGTTGTTGTTGTTGTTGTTTGTTTTTTTGGGCGGGGGTTCAATTTTAGAATTTTGCGGAAGCGGTATCGGTCTTCTCAGCTAATTCTTAGCAAAAAAGATGAATAAGCAAATTTCCCAAAATTCCTTTAAGCTCATTAATTACTCAACAGCATTGTGGCTATTATCAGTCTCTCTCTACTCTTGTCATGTTTACATAGTCTAAAAGAATTATATAATTTTTGAGATTAAGAAAAAGAAAGAATTATGCAAGTGAAGTTGTACTATGAGGGAAATGTGGCTTTAATTGATATGATGGCAAAGTGCAACATCTATGTACATAGATAGTGCTTTTTATCTTTCACAGTACAACATCTAATATCATTGATAATACTTAGTGCATCGCTATGTTGTTTTGAGATTGAAATGCTGTTTGGTTTCACTCCGGATGAGACAGAGGTTTCAGGGAACTGCAGGTCAGAGGTCATAGTCAAAATCAAAACATTAAAGCTGAGAGTTTAGTGCTGAAGATGCTCTTTAGCGAAACACTGAAAGGATGTACGGTGTGTACCATATGGCAGTCTCGGTTCTACAGGAAGTCTCTTTGGTGAAGGGGAGGCTGTGATAAAGCGAACAGGATGAAAAATAGAGAGAGAGAGAGAGAGAGAGAGGAAGTTGTTGGTTCACAGGTGCAGTATGGGGCTTTCCACATCCTTCTGCCCCTCAGCTGCGGAAGCAAATACTGAGAAGAGGCTCACCACAGACTGTAGATTGTTTACGTCAATCATAATTTCCAGACATACCACAACAAATTGCGAGCGATGAGCAGGGAGAGAGACTTTAATGTAGAGACGCGGCACGGTAAATGGCGAAGTGGCAGAGAATTACAGGAAGAAAGAAACCAAATTAAAGCACGTAAAAGAGAAACTGTGTAACATCACTCGGGCAAGCTTTCAGAGCTGCTTGCTAACTGTTGGTTTGGGAGATGAGTGGCTTCTCATGTGCTGATTTATGTCTACAAGCTGCAAGCATGATTTTTCACCTCCAAGCAGCTCATCCATATTTGCTGAGATGCACATGCAAATATTCATACAGTAGATAGAGATCTAACCAAAAACAAGTTATGCATAACAGTAGTGAAAGATAGCTGTGGGCTATAACCGTGCAGGCACATTATGCAGCTACAGTAAGAGTATGGAAAATGAAGTGATCCCAGTGAACATGGGTTTGGAGAATTGCAGGTGATGTGAATTAAAACTGAGCAGAAATGTCGTCTTTGTTTAACCTATAGGTCTCAACACAAGGCAACAGTTTATCTTTTTTTCTTATCACCACACACAAATGATCCCTGGGGTGTAAACTATATTTGGAACTTAGTACTTTGCGAGAGGAGGCGGGTGAGTACTGAAAATACACAGAGGAGTAAAAAAGGCAGTGATCCCAAAAATGAAGTTACAAGCGCACACAAGTACTCTGTACGTAAAGTGGGAGGTGTTTCCATGGGAGCGTTCGCCCAGCTGTGGAGGCCACAGGTGGGGGTTGTGGGGAGGAGTGAGCTGTGCTCTGATTTCATATGTGTGTATGAGAGAGCGAGAGAATGAGTGTGTGTGTGTGTGTGTGTGTGTGTGTGCTTGTTCGGAGAGGGTCTGCTGAAATTTGGGGTGCAAGGAGAGCGAGGCTGCGGGCTGGCAGCTGGATATTGTCAGGGGTTCACCAGGGGAGCTTGCATGTCAGGGTGAACGGGTTTAAGATGAAATGTGCCCAAGGAGACCCTGACTCACTGTGTTTGCTTTGGGGGGTCCTCAGGGGCTTGCCTGTG